CACACTGTCCCACGCATTGCCCACAGCGACCCAAACGCAGCCGATGCTCTGCAAGCTCAGCTTTTGAAGGGAGCCCTTTTCGAACATGGTGGGAAGCCCCAAACCCAGCCCGCCCTGCCTAGGACCTTGCACGGGCTCCGTCGCCACATAAGAAAAAGCGCAGCGTGATACGCCTTGACTATGTCGATTTCCAGAGCATCGCTGCCCTCGCCGTAACAGTTTGCAGTCGTTGCCCATTCCTCCTGTATTTTCGGACATCTTGAATGCCCTGCCATCACCGGCACGCTTGAGGAGCGAATTTTTGGGTTGTTGTTAAGGGCCGAAAACCAGCCGACGAAAGACCTACTGCGCAGCAAACAGTCCAAGCCTCCGCGGCTGGCTCGGCAGAGAGGTTTCGTTAAAGGATCATCATTGAACCGATTGGTTCAATTAGTTGGCCTGCGACTGAACGAAAAGAGCGGTTTGAAACGGCGACTGAGCATCAGCGCCGGTCTAGCATCAGATTCACATTAGCTTTCGAGCTGGCTTCTCGGCGGCTTCGAAGCTGCAGATGGTCTGCGGCTGAGCAAGATGGGCATCAGCCGAGCATCAGACCCCTCGCCCACTGCTCGTAAGATCCACCCCAGGCCTGCCAGACAAGTCAACCTTCACTCAAACCCTAAACCCTAAACCCTAAACCCTAAGCCAGTCAGGGTGGATCTTCAGAGGCCCTAAACCCTAAACCCTTAACTTTGACGGAAAGCAGAGCAAGACTCAAGACTGATACCCATTCAGCCTAAGCCTAAGCCCTGAAGGCTACACAAGAATGATGACACAGACAGCTAAGGATCGGGCACAGCCCCACAAACCTGCCAGAAAAGAAGATGTGCAAAGAGTCATGGAAGTATGCCAACTGTGCTGCTAGAGGTACTGTGGTTGCTCCAAGAATTCCGAGCTCAGCTCCTCCGACGCATGCCTTCCTGAAGCATGGAAGCCCCCAGGCGATGAGAAGACGTTATAGAGGCGACCCTTTGTCCCAACAGGCATTCGGGCTACGACCCTCCTAAACCCTGAACCCTAAAGCTTATGCCCTAAACCCTCAAGCCTTCATCCCTAAACAACCTCTTTAAGTCTGGAGGGCTACTCCGGGTTCTATAAGGGTTATTATGGGTTCCTTGTAGGGGTTTCTTTAAAGGTTCCTTAGGGTTAGGGTTTAGGTGTAGGGTTTAGGGTTTAAGGGAGTGGAGTGTGACCAGGACAAAGTCCGGTCGAAAGGCGGTATCACCTCCGGCCCGAAGGCTTAAAGATCAAACCATCTTAAACTCTGCGACCCTTTTGAACACTGAACCCTGAAGCTTAGTTCCTAAACCCTAAGCCCTACTCCCTAAACAACCCCTTTAAGTCTTAAACCTTCTCGACCCTCTTGAACCCTGAACCCTAAAGAATAGTCCCTAAACCCTAAGCCCTAAACCCTAAGCCCTAAACCCTAAACCCAAACCCTAAACCCCGCAACCCTAAAGCCCTTTGAGTCTTAAACTCCCTAAACCCTAAACCCTAAACCCCTAAGCCCTAAACCCTAAACCCCTTTGAGTCTTAAACTCGAAGCATCACACCCAGAGACTCCAATATTCCTTAATTAAGGAATATTCCTTAAATTATAGTAGGATCCTTAATATGATTTAAGGCATATTCCTTAATTAAGGGATATTGGAGTCTCTGGGCAGACGGTGACCATGCCAGGAGCGCTCTCCAGGTCTTCGCGGGAGTTCACACCTCGAGGCTTCGAGTGGCAGCGCAGCGAACGGTCTAGGCTCGGTTTAGGGTTTAGGGGGCTTACTAGGGGGGTTTAGGGGGTTTAGGGGGGTTTAGGGGGTTTAGGGGGTTTAGGGGGCTTAGGGGGTTTAGGGTTTAGGGGGTTTAGGGTTTAGGGTTTCTGTTCTCCCTGCCTTGAGCAGCTTCGCATCGTCCACGAGACT